TAAGGACATAGAGTATACTTTTGCCAGTCTCAGAGTTGCCACATCTGGGACAAGATCCATTGCATGATCATAGGGCTTATGCATCGGCATTCTTTCCGAGCTCTTCTTCGAGAACACATCTCTGAATTGATGAAATTTTGGAGGGACGAATTTGGACCAATATTCTTTGTCCTGTGTTTCTTCTGCCGGCTGTTCTACCAAATGCTCCTTTACCTTCTTGCTTATGCCGAGGATGTCGTGCACCATGTTATGAAGATCCTGGTCTTGCAAGTCTATCCAGTTAATGAAGTTGTCTTTCTGATCCCACCCATCATCTTTGTGTACGTCAGGGAGAATTGCTTCATTTTCAAGTTGAGGCTGCGATAGAAGGCTGACTTCTTCCTCGCTTACTCTAACTTGTTGCTTCATGGTATGTCTGCACCTTGAGAATGTGACCTCTCTGTGTTCTCAGTTAACTTGGGGGTTATGTTCTTGTAAGAGTTTCATGCCAAGAATCATGGACATGCATCCAAGGTTAGTGATGAGCAAACTTTCAGTTGATCGGTGCCCCCCAATTAAGATGTTTGTGACTACACAATGAGTAATTGCACTGCCTTTATTAGGGCTGGTGTCTGCGTTGAGGATTTTTATTTCACAGTTCAGTGGTATCATCGTGAATCTGTGTTTCTGAGCAAATGCTTTGTCGATGTAACAAGAGAGTGCTCCTGAATCCAGTAGTGCCATTGTCTGGATTTTCTGTGATACGAATTTTATCAGCAATTTGATCGAATGTTTATAAAAACCTGCGGATGCAATATATAGATGGTCACTAGGTACATTCATTCTCACGGTACTAATACAATTGTCCTGAAGTGTAGTACCAGACTTATCTACACTTCATACTGAAAATCCTCTGAGAATTTGTCAATCTCGATGATTCTCACACTGGTGTCTTTGACAGTAGATGCTGATGCTGTTGATGCTGCATCTGTGCCTTTGTTTTTCACCTTGTCCTTGCCTTTGCTGGATGAGGAAGTAGTTGGGGTTGTCTTCATCCCACGAAGTGCAGCAATTGCTTGTTTCAATGCTGCAATTTGAGATGATGACGCCACACTACTTTCTTCTTCCACTTGTCGCACATTGGTTGCTCTTCCCTTTCCTTTTCCTTGATTTGGGGCAGGTCATGTCTGAAACCACTTTCCCTTGTATTCTGGTTTAGGAGAGGGACATCGCTTTCCTCTTTCGTAGGCATGCTTTCCACAAAATAAACATAGTTTATTTGCCAGCCACCTATCTTGTTCTGCAGAAAGCTCATGTGTAATTCGTGCACTTGTGTCCATGGCATTAGGATCTTTGGAGGCAGTCACCTTGTTTCCTGAGGTTTGTCCAGTGAGCTTGTTGCCTGAGAGTTGCTGAAGGTGCTTAATTTCAATTTCTAGACAGAATTCGAGATACCCCATCCAGTCCATTGGGATCTTGGTGGGGTCCAGCATCTCTGTGACTGACATCACCATTTGAATATGTAGCGACCATTGTTCCCTGATCTTGATGATCAAATCTTCGTTGGAGTAACCTGATTCAGGTGCATAAGCCCTGAAATTCTCCACGAAAGTGATCATTGTCTCATGGTGAATTGCGCAGTGCACATCTAGCTGTGACTGGGCTGTGTGCTTGGGGTCCAGTGTCTTGTAAGCCATTTCCAACTTCCTTATATATTCTGCCCATGTGCCGACGGGTTGCCCGGACGAGAGCTTGATTGCGTACTCCTTCATGTATAGAGCAGCTTCTTCTTTAAGGTGAGCATTGGCCTGTTGAATTTTGTCCTTATTGTCGGTGAAGTTGTTACAGTCCAATCAAATTTGAAGATTCATGAACCAGGTTTCAAAGTTCTCCGACGATTTCCTTCCTGAATACTTCAGGGGGTCTGGAAGCTTAATTCTTTGAGGCGATTGGGTGGTTTGGCCAGCCAGTGGTTGGATACCTTGTGGAAGTGCATTAATGATAGCATTGTTGAGTCGGGACTCTAAGCCAACGATGTAGGTAGTGGTCTTTTCCTGAGCCTCCTTCAGGGTGACCATGCTTGTGTAAAGAGCATCTGTCAAGCCCTTTACTTCATCCTTGTAATCTTCGAAGTCCTTGCAGATTGCTTGGGCTTTGGCTGCCAGAGTGGTATTGCTTTTAGTGAGTCTTTCGACATCAGCAAAGAGGGTGCCGATTTGCACTCTTGCAATTTTTAGCTGGTCTCACGTTGTCACTGCCATTATTTTGATGTGGATGCGGGCCAGTATCCCATCCTCTAGGCTAGCAGCTACTCGTTCATGTCTTTCATTCATTTTTTGGTGTAGAGCTTCGTAGGAGCCTACTACATCCCTTAGAATGAACGAGCGGATCATATTCATCACTCAGTCCTTGACGTCCATTGGAACTGTGGCTGGTGCGGCTGCATTGGCTGCTTCTTCAATAGTCACATAGGGTACACCATTCCATTCCCACATTGAGGGAGTGACATATTCTGGTAAGACTGAAGGTGAAGGATTTCTGACTACTCCCGATGTCTTTGGTGTGCTGCTTGTGGGTTGTTCTGGATCAGGGGCAGCAGCTTCTGGTTCTTATGATTGAGAAGTGGCCTGACTCCTCCAGGGGTCTGCAGGCTCACTTCTTGTAGTTCCTTCTGAGAACATAATGCTATCGAGGTTGTATTGGGACATGGGAATAGATGTGGAAGAGAGGGGGAATGAGTTTGATGATAATTTAGAAGGGATCAGTGTTATTGGCAACATGGTCCTCTTCTGTCAACTCCTGATAGAGTTGTTGCTCTCATTCCTGTAGCAGTGCTTCTTCAATAAGTCTATTCCTTCGTTCTAGTGCCACTGGTCTCAGATGCGCTTTAGCGGGAAGTCTTCGTTCCACACTTGTTGAAACCTTTCTTCATCCTCTTAGTAGAGTCTAGCATCAAACTCTCAAATTTGTCCTTCCACATAGTCTTTAACCAGGTTGTGGATGTCGTAGCCCATGTCAATGAGATGAAAATATGTGTATCAGATATAGTCTCACTCGATATTGATCGAGTTGTAATGGAGGATGATTGGCGAGGTGACAAGCAGTGGTTGGTAGATGAAATATGTGGTGAATGCGACATGAAGTTCGTCGTTCTCCAAGTAGTGGTAAACGATGTAGTTTCGATAGATGAAGTTGAAACTATATCGCGGCATGTACAAGTGATACAAATTGATATAACTGGCTTAGTAAGGCCAGTAGCACGACTCCTTCTCAAACTTTACTAGTTCCTTTCCTACCCATGCCTGCTCATTATTGATTCCTTTAAAGGAGATCTTCCCTAGACCTACGTAAAGCTTAATAGCAATGTGCCTATTGACAAAAGTAAAATTGTGTCCATCTCCAATTCGTGCGTTTATTGATCCTAGGTGTCGAAGAATTCTGTTTCGACACTTTATCTGTTCCTCAGTGAACTTGACAGCGATGTGTGGCTGCTGCAAAACTTTATACCACTGAATAGCAGCATATACAGTGGGATCGATGTTTTCAGGGAGCATCCCTTTGAGATTCTCATGGATGCCACAGGGATGATAGCTTTTAGAGAGTGCAAAGTTGATAATGTCGATGGTGGAAAAGGTAGCATAGGGATGTGGAGGTAGGAGCAGGGTGGACAGATTAGGTGTCTTCTTGGGAATGCTTTTAATTCAAAGGCTAACCTCATGCTCTGGATTCAGCATTTGGCTGTATGACCTATGGAACCGCCTTTAGGCCGCTGTGCTTGAATGAGGTTGCCTTGAGTCAAGCGACAGACTCTAGGCTGACGTTGATAGGGATGGTAATGTCCATTGGGCGTAACGGTACCGTTGATGGTTTGAGGTGCAATGCTGTTCCTTTTGAAGGAAGCAAGTGGCTTAGGCGGTAGAGACGTGGAGAAAGTGTATGAGGGAAGTGATGTGGAAATAGCCCTGCCCTGGATGGATGTATCTCTGAGTGAAAATGCGTGGCAACCAGTGTTAGACACTTGGTTGAGGCATAAAAGGTCAGTCTTATTCTAATGTCATGGCACGTCGATGACAAAGATAGATAACTCAAAATAAGAGTCCCCTTGAGGGTCTCTGGGTGAAAGCCTACAGTGATGAACTGTGACGATACGACGTGCCCACTGATGAGGCTGACTTGCTGTCTGCGAGGTAAGACTTACTGACAGGGTGATCGGTGCTATCACAGATATGAGAGTGAATATGAATGTATAGCACACTGAGAGTGTCTGGTAAGACCCCTTTATGATGGTAGTGGTGGATGAAGGAGAATAAGATTGAGGGTCTCTCCTCATCTCGCTGGTCCTTATATACATGATTGTCTAGCTACTATATAGTACCACAATAAGCGAGTCACATGCTATTCTACTGGATGGTGCTACAATCATACGACTTGTCCCAATTATTATAATTGGTCTGTCTAATAATAACCCATGGAAATGGAGCTCCTTTTGAGCATGCAATATGATGTCATGACGATTGCGACATATGACACAATGCCGAGGAGCTCAGTGTCACATGATTATGCTGAGAGAGATCTGAGATCATGTGACTAGATGATCGGTTATCTTATCTCCCTTTCGTCAAAGGTCTGTCGACACCTGCGGCCGCACTGGCACATGCATGAACTCAAAGAGCACTTGTGCTTGGTGATGTGTTGATCCACTCTAATTAATCTCCCAACTCACCTTTATATCTGTTTCATTTGACTCGTTCTAACTGGTTCATATGCCAGTTGGATCGCTCTCACTGGTTCCTGTATCGTGTTTCAATGCTCGATGGATTGTCTCCACGTCCACTTCCTTTGGACCCAGTGACTCACTCTGCAGGGGGAGGGTGTATGTCATGGTTTTACCTGACAAGACAATAATGGGAACATACATATTGGAACATATAATTTTCTGTCATTTCAAGTCGCACAAGTGACGTGACCTAGATCAGCACCGTTAGCAAGCTCCCTGCATTTTTAATGCCGACGAATGCTGGTCAGTGGTGCACATTGGGCATCTCCTCATTGAGCAGTTCTGGGGAATCTGCTGAGATGGGTGTATGTGATGGGCCAGGTATATTGCGAGAACTCGGGTGAAGGTTGTGGCCCTTGAAGGCTCTGCCCTTCATAGAATCGGGATAGCCCTGCTTCAGTTTTCTGGGCTCGTGGAAGTATTGGGTTGCCCAGCCCAATGAAATACGAGGTCGGGTCATCTGGAATAATGCCGCAAGTGAAAAGGTGACGTGCCATATCCTGTGGAGTCACTGTTAACGAACTGCGCACATTATCTTTGGCCTCTAGGGATGCCATTTCTAGGCCAAACAGCACCGGGTTAACAACAGTTGGGCAGCTGGCAAGGTCTACACCTGCTGCATTGATATGATGCGCAAAGTTGTTCAGGTCACACAGTAAGTCCGCCACAACATTTGAGATTGTCTGGGAGAAATCATAATGTGCAGGCATCAGCGTGGCGATCTGATTGATGGCATAGTACACGCGTAGGTCCTCCTCTGCCAGGGCACCTGAATCCAGATTGTGACGCACTTTCCTGAGCCACCAGTTCAGGTGTTGCAAGCAGAAGTTTTGCAGATCATCCACTGTGCCATTTCACTTGAAGCATGAGTCAACCAGCTTGCGTGTCTCAATCTCCAAGCCTGGCTTCTTCTTCACCCACTCTGGTCACTTCGCTTCACAGAGAATGAAACTTTGTGCATCTGACAGTCCTGATTGCCCTGATGCTTTTGCTATCAGTGCGACCTGGAACCATGAGGATATGACCTCTGCAGCCTTTGCTCCATCCATAGTTGACGTCATCATGCCTACTAAGAATTGCTGGGCCTCCACCTTCGATGCGGGGGCTTGTATGCTCAAAGGCATGGAGAATTGATAGGTACTGGTCAGTCCCATATCATGTTCCCTATCTTGTGGTTTAGACCATGTCATAGACTGTCTCAGCAGCCCTCAGCAATATGTCAGCTCCATAGCATGTGTGCGATGAGGTGGTGTCAGCAAACATACTTGATATGAATGTCGGGGTGGTTCCACACTTCTTCCCCTTCCTCACTGAGCCACTGAGGAAGCAGCATGGGGCATCAGAGGAAGCAATTGCTCATAGGTGAGCCACTCCTCAGGTAACATCAAGAGCTACAGCTTGTGCTCCAGAGCGTGGATCCTATGCTCCAGCATCACAGCAGTAGGGTCTTCATCAGATAGGTGGTCCTTGCATGCAGCCTCTCATCTGTGCTCAAAGCCCTTTTGGTAAGGCTGGTCAGAAAAGGAGTTAGCCATTGCATCAGCAGCAATGTTAAAACTATGAGACTGTTTAACATGCTCCTGAACGTGGTTCATGAACAGGGCACAGGTATCACAGCCACGTGGGTGTGCAATGGTGAACAGATCCCTCATGTGGGTCCAGGGCACATGAACGATGTGCTGAGTTGGACAATGCATGTTTGTGAGGTGCCTCATGGGCTGGATGGTCACCCAATAATCCATGTCCAAAGGAGTAGCGTGGGGTAGGAGCCATTGATAACACAAGGCTAGATGCGTGAAACGTGTCGAGGACGTCAGAGGACACGTTTGATGGAAGCATAGCAGACCCACAAAAGATTAGAAAGGCAGATTGGTAGGCAGCCACTGCAACAAAACTGTATAGTTCTGAGTTCCAGACCAGTGCACATGGCCCTATCTCCACAGTCACATGCACATTACACAGGCATGGGGTGTACTAATCACCCAGTGCCACTGGCATGCCATGGTCTCAGCCACCTGCATAGAGGCATTGCTGCATAGCATGGCTATCGCCACATCATGACACCACTGCTGTCTGGTCCCAAGGTCACAGGTGAGTAGCAGCTGCCCGCTTCAGCCACTTATGCCAGTCCATTACTCCCTGCAGGTCGAGATAATGGTCGAGCACTTCAAGATCCTTGCAGACATTGTAGGTCTGCCAAATCACGTCGCCATCTTCAAATTGCAGCAAGAACTGAATGGCATTATGCCTCCAGCAGTGAGCAATGATGTCCTTGACAAGGACCTCCTCCTCGTCAGGCTGACTGAAGTTATAGAACACGGCGACATCCCTGCAGGAGAACAGCAGGTCATCGTTTGGCTCATGCAGACACAACCATGAGATGTGGAATGTCAGCTTAATGCAATGCTGGTGCAAGGCTTCAGGCAGTTTGAGGGTGTAGGTGGATGAGGCTGGGTTCACCTTGATGATTCTGTAGGGTCCGATAACCCATGGGGTGAGTTTTTTTGCCCTCCCCTTCAGCAGGCTCAGGTTTTCAGTGGACAGATATGCGAGTTTGCCCACTGATAAATGTTGCTGCAGCTCCTCTGCATCCTCAGAATGATGGCCACAGTTTGCATAGTGTGTCTAAATGACACGGCTTGCGATAATAGTGTCGTGCACTATCGTGGCATTCTCAAGCACCCGTTCTGCAAACGCACAAATGCCAGGCATGACTGGCTCCCATGCAAGCTCACGTGTCATTCACAGTAAGCGACCATAGTTCAGATCGAATGGCATGAACCCAGTCGATGCATTGACGGTCAAATTGATAGTGAACTCAATTATCGGGATCTTCTCCGCTCAATCGGTCTGATCCACTTTAACGATGCTACGCAATATCTGCGACACCATCTGTATCACATGCTCGGATATGCTGTCTGTCTGCAGATGGAAAGCCGTTGACATCAATAGCTTATTGCCCATCAATCAGTGCAATTCGCTCCAGAACCACGACGTGAACTTCGGGTCACGATCAGATATGATAGTCTCGGGTAAGCCATGTAGTTGTACCACCTCCTTAAGGTACAACCAAGCCAGTTCTGATGCCTTGATAGTGGTGATCACAGGTACCAAATGTACCATGGATGAAAACTGGTCCACAATCACCCACAGGTAATCATGCTCACACAATTGCAGAAATGGTCTGATGAAGTCCATGCCAACTGATTTCCAAGGCCGTGTCGTGATAGACATGCTGTGCAGTAGGCCCATCAAATGCTGTCGTGATGATTTCATGATCTGACATGTGCCACAGCTTGCGCAGAATCATGCAATCTCTTTTCCGATGTCCGGCCACCAGTACCAGTGATGGACATAGTCACCAGTATGCCTTGCATCTAGATGTCCCAGGGTGGTATGTGTCACAAAGCACCAAAGCACTTAACCCAATTAAGGGCAAGTCTGCTTTTGTGACCTGCACAAATGATCCCACATAAAAAGCCTGCCACAAGGGCTAGGCTGAGGACGCGCGCAGTGATATGCAGTCTGAAAAAGGGGCTCAAAGGGCCCTTAGCCTTATGCTCACAACAAAGGGGTGAATTGGCTGGTTAGGCCGCATGCAATAGAATAATGAACCTAAGGTTCTCCCTTAGATCCTCATGGGCTTATATACATGTAGGGCAGGGCCCCTGGCACTGTGCTACTGTGAGACCTCAGATATCTACATGTGAACATACTGCCAGAACTGGTAATGGTTCTGGACTTCATCATAGCAACTATCTACAATGGCCGTGGATACGCCGAGGTAATCCTATCTAATCCAATGAGATAAATGCCTGTAAGTGGGCCTACTATTGAGGGGCCAATGGGTGATAGCCAACAGAGCACATCACAACGGTTGCAACATCAGATGAGAGGATCTGTCCAAACTCTGGCTATACTGTGTGCCAGTTGGTAGGGGGGTCCTCTGTTGTGGTATCTGCCTATTGGTTTAGGCAGCAAAGTGGTGCCACTATCTTGAGTGGCGAATTGGGTGCTTGCTAGCTTGATGGTCCAATGGGTTCCTTTCTGGGCAAGTGGCCTGGTGTCACGTGACCAACACCTGACAACTTCCAAATAGGGCAAGTGGCCAGTATCACATAACTGAGTGGCTGAATCATGGGCGCTTGGTGGTCATGTGGTAGACACAGTCATGTCCGTGATGTATGTGGCAGCATTGTGCTGTTTGTCCAAGTATCCACGTTGCAAGACCAATATGAAGGTTGGCATCCGAATAACCACTCAAATGAGGACTTTAATGGTGCAAAAAGAAAGGTGCCACTTAATACTGTGACAGTATGGCCCTCATCGATGATAATCTCGGTGAGTGACTGATCATCTACCTTGACATGGGGTATGCACAGTACCTCCATCTGTGAAGTGGTCTTGTGCCAGATGAGCTCATCATGAACTGCAAACAGTTTATGGTCATTCGGGTGTGCAAGAACCTTAGCGAATATGGGGTCATTCACATACCTGGCATGTGCTGCCTTCGCAAGATCAAGTGATCACTGAATGACCACGTCAAGTGGTAGTCCTGACACCATGGATTCCAGAGCCATCAGGTTGCTATCCAAGGCAACAGGTGTATCGTTAACACGTGATAGTTTGTGAGCTGTGAGTTCATTGGCCTCCTATATATGAGGCTCAACAGTTTCCACAATACATTGTGCGTGAATCTCAGCTATCTGAGATTTGGACAGAGCTTCACCTTCAGGGTCAAGGTGAACGTCTGCTGTCACAAAGTCCTCAGGTGAGCATGATGCATCAATGCCTTCACTCGTGAAGTAACACGAAAATGAGTCAGCCACGTGATTGGTCAAACCTTCCACATAGATTGGTTCAAAGTCAAAGCAGCTCAAGTACTCAATCCACCACTCTAAGCACAGTGATAGTTTGCACTTGTTGTGCAGAATGATGAATGCATGGTGGTCAGTCACCACCTTGAAATGATGATCCAGGAGCTTGTCCTCCCACTTCATCAGGGCTTCTAGCACCGCTAACACTTCCATCTCAAATGTAAAGTAAGCGTGCTGCACGGTCGTGAATTTTTTTGACATGAACCCCACTGGATGACATTTTCTCCAGTCTAGACCCTGTTCATACACTGCGCCAACTCCTGGCATTGATGCATCAGTTATAACTCAGATTGGCTCCACGCCACATGGGTTAATCAGCTTTAAAATTGGAGCACGACATGCAAGCATCTTGACCATGTCAAAGCACCTCTGATGAATGGGTCACCACATGAATGTCTGACCATTTTGCACCATGCCACTTAGAGGGCCAGCATATGCAGATATGTTAGGCATAAAGTGAGTGAGACATTGGACCAGGTCAAGAAATTGCTGAACATCATTGTAGTTCTTAGGAATGGGCCAAGAATGAACATGCCCCATCTTATCCAGGTCAGCGTGTAGTCTAGCATCATCGATGATATGTCCCAAACAGTCGAGGCATTTCGAGAACAAGTCGCACTTGTCTCTGCTCAGGTAAAATCAGTTCTCCCATAGCTTTGCAAATAATCAGTGCAAATGATGGTGATGTTCCTCCACAGAGTTTGAGAAGATAAATATGTCATCCAGGTATACGTGCAGGAAGATTCTGATTACCTCACAGAAGATTGTGGTCATCAAATGTTGAAACATTGAGGGCACATTACAGTCCCCTTGCTGCATGACGTGACTATAGAACATCCCATAGATTGTAGCAAAAGCTGTCTTAGGTACATCTCTTTCATCAATCAGAACTTGTTCATATGCATTTGACATGTCAACTTTAGATCTGAACTGTGTGGCTGCCACATCATGACGGATCTGGTCCTGGTCAGGGAATGGGGTTACATCCTTGATGGTATTATCATTGCCTAGACGCATGTCCATCACCATATGCAAGTCTCCATTTTTCTTCAAAATACACAGTAATGGTGCAGCCTGATCAACATTACAGGGCACCCACCATCCATTTGCAATGTAAAGCCTAATTTTCTTCAGCAATTTCAGCTTCAATGCATCTGGACAGTGTGGTTTATAAAAATGGTACCTCTTATTCTCGTCAATCAGAGGTATAGCATGGTTAATCTCCCTTCTAGGGGCTACTCCAGATGGTAGAGTGCCAAACAAGTCATCGTATTCTGCAAATAATGTCTCAGCAATTCTCTCACAAGATTCTCCATCTGGAACAGGCAGTGCATTCAAAGTTGCTGTAATGCGTTGGAATTGCACTAAAGGAAAGGTCTGTACACCCTCCCCTTCCCAAACATCACTACCATGTAGTCAGGCAGATCACGCAGCAATTGATGATGACGTGGTGGCCATCGACATGTGCATCGTGCTAGAAGCAGGAGCGGAAGAATCACATTTACACCAGTGAGCCCCAGCCTCTTCCTCACGTGAGAGCAATGCTGTGATTGTCTGACTACGCAGGCGAATGGCCGAATCTTCGAAGTCCAAATACACACCAAACTTATGCATAAAGGGTGTGCCTAACACTGCGTCATAGCGGTTAAGGTTCACAGCATTCACATAGATGTCAGCTCAGAATTCACTGCAGACTATGGGGATGCTTGCACCAAAGCTGATGCGTGAATGGCTTTCCATGCAACTCAGCTGCAATACCGTGGGGTTCTCTAATTTGTGCACCTTTATTCCTGCAACCTTGGCAAAGTCGGGACTAATGGAGTCAGTAGTGCTGCCTGAGTCGAAAAGAACCAGGGCCTTCAAACCATTGATTGACATGTACGTAGTCAAGCAGATCTGCTCCATCTTCATCACGTTTGGGCAGCGTATCATCGCACATTGCCTCACCACTGCATGCATCACTGTAGATGCACCCACAGGTACTTGCATGGTTTGCATAGCATGTAGGGTGGGGTTCACAGCATCATCTTCACTAATCCAGGTCACAAAATCGTGAACAAGATCGACGGCATCATTGACCATCTCGTCAGATGGGTCAGCAATATAAGTGGGCCATCCAACTGTTACAGTAGCTCTGGAGTATGGCATGTCATCAAGCAGTGCACATTGATTTGAAAGCCGCTGACAAATCATCTCAGCTCATGCATGGAAATTTCTCAACAGTGGTTCCCACCGTTCAGATGAGAACATATCTATATAACTGCCCTCCCCATCCATTGCCAGGGCCAGCTGTCGCCATGCCCATTGCAATTCTCGTCACAGGGCCTTTGCATTTTCAGTGTGCTGATCAGGTATCTCCAATGCACATATAAGTGAACCTGCACTATGATGCCCATATTGATGCTGCATGGCCCCGAAGTAGATGACAGGACTATCATCTTCATTGTAGTTCAAGAAGATGTACAGCTGATCCTCAGGATCATACTGCGATCCGTCCACATTGCATTCAGGCACCATTTTCTCCATGGTCGGAGCTGTTTCATCAAGTTGGTCTTCATGATCATCAGCCTCAGGTGTGTGCATTTCGTCATTCACCAGCAGTGCATTCTCTTGGCTTATCTCATCCTCCTCATCAGAGATTTCAATGATGTGAGCTGCATATAACGATGTCTGCCGGCGGTGCTTGAGACACTCATTCATGAAATGTCCTGGCTGCCCACACTCATAATAAGTGAATGTTGCTGGGGAGGAGCTGGACGATTTCACCGGTCCAAGAGTGTGACTAGAGTTGCACAATGTGCGAGGGCTTGACCCTTTATCACCAGCAGGTCTCACAGATGAGGATGCCGTGGCAGTCTGATCTGGCCTCCTAGTATCAATGCCCATGCGAGGCGATAGCTGCACATAGTGTCCAGGCTTAATCATTGGGGCAGCAGTCCTCATATTGGATGTTGGGTGAGCCAGTTTTGGCTTTACAGAAGCTTGAGTTCCAGTAACTGGTCCTTTGACAGGTTGTGAATGCCATGCATGGAACACATCCAATGTCTTATTGTTGTGTTCTTGCTAATGTGCCAGCTGCAGCAGATCCTGGAACTTGGTCCCCTCAATCAAGACATTCTGATTGCACAATAGGGGCACATGGATCTCATCTGGCAATGTGTCCATGAACTGATGAGCAAATGCATAGTCATCAGGTGGAATGGGCATGCACTTGGCATATTTTGTCAATGTATCATGCAGCCCCACCACTCCTCCTTGCTTCAAGTACATGACCACTTCGAAATGGTCAGCAGCGCTAATGGTAGAAGCAAAATGTAGAAACTGCCTGAAGAGCATACAAAGCGCTTCAACAAATGACCACAGTTGAGCATCCACGTCAATGTCATCAATAGTGTCATTATACCATTCTGATGCAGCGCCCTTTAGGTATTGTCCAAGCATTTGAAGACATTCCTCATCAAGATTCGGGCCTCCTAGTCGAGTGAGGCACATCCATCGTAATAGGGACTTCAGCCATGAGTCAAACATCTCACGGTTGTCCTCACCATCATATTTGTTGGGTTTTGGTAAGTCCTTAATGTTCTTTAGAACAGTATTTTCAGGCAGCGTGGTCCCCAGCTTTGAATAAACAAGGGTCCATATTATTCAAAGTCCATCCTCCAAGTAACGATTATCAGGCAAGTGATCTCGACCCGCATGACGCCAGGCATCCACTACTGCCTCATGCTCAGGAAAGTAGGACGGGCTATGCATTCACTGCTGAAAGCCATTCTGTGGATCTGCAAGTGGTTGTGAGTCACCATCGCTATCCTGACTGCCAGATCCATCATCACTCAGATCAAAACCTCCACCAGGTCCTCCACCTTGACCTCCTTGACCAGATCATTGAGGACCCTGGCCTCCATGGCCTCCATGCCTGCCAGGTCCAGGGTTTTCACCATGGTTGCCACCTTCTGGTCTGCGATTATCTCGAGGCTGACCTCAGTGGTCAGCATCCTTGTCATCTGACAAAGAGTCACCTGAAGGAGGTAGCCCCTTCACACCCACGTTACCCCTGCCACGCTGTGCATTTCTATTCTGGTGAACCTCATAGTGCTGCTGCACTTGCTCTCACAGGTGATCAGCTTTCAGATTTGGGGCTCATCTCAGAAATCCATCTCTGACTTGTTGTGGAGCAGCCTGGTCCTGAGCTCACGACCCTCATCATGCATGTGTGGGGGTGCATCATGGCCTGAATAGCCATCAGCATTCTCTGACTCTCTGGTGGGCATCACTGATGGGTCACCAGCATAGAGTTCATTATCGGAGTTCAGCAATGGTCTCTGTCGCTGACAAGGTATCTCTGATGGTTTTGTTTGTGGCAGGTCAGCCATCAGAAGACCATGTCAGAAGTGAGCTATGGACTCGTCAAAGTGCTCAGTGAGTATTCTCACATGTGAGCACAGTGACTCATGGTTCTTGTTCACAGTCTCAAACTCGTGTTTGGCTCGAGACAGGTAAGACTCCACTTTCGTCATGTACTTGCATCAGGAAAATGAAAACATGTCTTATTTGTGCTTATATACCCTTACACTGACTTATACAAGCAAAGAAGTAAATAAGCGACACATGTAAACTTACACAAGAGGATCACAGCACCAACAAGTCCATGAACCTCCTTATACAGGCTTATCTACTCTTGTCAGCAGTCCGAAAGCAACTCAACAAGTTAAGCTAAGATGACATGCTAAATACAGAAAACATGTTTGGGTGAATAAGTGCTCTAGCAGAATGCAATCTCTCCCAAGCAGGCTGGCCATCGGCTCAGCGCAAAAGGTTGAAAACATGGTGGTCAGCAAACTTATTGACATAGAATGCACGATAAAAATCTAATAAGTGAACCCATGCAGTATGTGAGCAGTGCCAAAAACAGGAATCAAATGAGCAGCACACACAATTGAGTTGACATGGATCATTGACAGTAATGGTTTTTGAGCAGCTGTGTAGTCCGGCCATACAATTCACATTTCAGTACTCTAGTCTGGTGCCTCGCCACAATGACGATACCATCAGACAAGTGCACATGGATATCAGATGCCGTGATACTTGAAAGATGCAAATAGCAGTATGTGCACCACTTCTAAATGGTTACTCATGCCATCCACAACTCACGCAAATGCACAGTCAAATCGAGGTGCTGACCCACACCACTGTGGTATTGCCCGAATGCGCTCACGATGCATACTGTCAATACCTGATGGGTCATCAGGAGCATAGAATATGGCTACAGCTGAGTAGTACACATATATGGCATCCTTGATCTTGGGCAGTTGACCTAAAGGCATTGAGGTGCCTGGCAAAGCATTGCTGGGGCTCAGCTGTTCATATAGGAAATGTCAGGCAAGCTCAGGTAGGCATGGTTGCTTTATCTCAACAGCCAATCCTTCGAATGTTTGTGAATGTTTTCATTCTGTTTCAGAGTTCGCTCAGCATGTACATATCGAAAAGACGACATATGTATATGCATGTGCAGTAGCTGCTAGAGTGACTGAATCGCAAATTCTTGACCCCAAAAAAGCACCATCCTCATCTTTCTTGCTGGAATCCTCCATTTGCAGTTCTGGTTGTTTCTCATCAATCAGGACTGGAGATGTACTATGGTCACATAACTTGAACAAGCTAGTATAAACATTGAACTCACATAGTTCCTTGAGCTCGGCTAATAGACATAAACCTTCAAGCATACCTCAGCTATTGAAGTCGACACGTGAGGCTGCAAGCTTGCTCAAATGCTGGTTTGTTAATAGCATCTGACCGAGGGCCTTCCACCGACTAGATCACTGCCAAGGCTCTTTCACAGCCCTGATATGCATCGACTCAGTAATGGAAGAACAGAGTCCATTCGGTGCCCCACACATCTATATGAGGAGCATGTAGTGAACCATAGAATGCTGTCATGGAAGAGAAAAGCCATTCGGGCAGACATCTGTCATCTGAAAGACTTTTCGGTACTGGTGAAACCGTTTAAGTGAGTCTTTGAGTGCTTGTATAGTTCTAGGATTGTGGGTCTCACAGCAAGCGAGGTAGCAGAACTCCAAGAAGACATGAATCACCCGAATCATATCTTGTGGAACATGATCTGCAATTGCGAGAAGCCATATCTGGTGAGAGCTGTTTGAAACACCTACAGAGAGCAAGAAAATATGCTGACCTTCATGAGTGCTTTGAAATCATCTCCTGTCCATTGCTTGAAGCCACGACCTTCTGGGAATTATCACAGGCCTGAGAAGGGAGGCACAGCAGTGATGCTGATACAAGCTTGTCATGTCATGGTCCTCAATGGCATGTGAGTGGGCTCACCATCGGTCGATCTCAGCCATAATGACTTGTTCTTGAGACTTGCCATGGGTCAACTCGAGGTAATTTTTGACCCAGTCGACCAAATGATCCTTGAAGGTGCCCTTGATCAATTGATGCAGGATCTCCGGTGATAGCATCTCGTGAATATCTGCACGAGGAAAGTCATTGGTGAATGGCTGAGGATACAAAAGTTAGTCACAGAAAAACTAGATATGCAAATGAAATAATATTGTAGGTGAACTAGAACTCTGAAACTGTGCATGTGTGGTCCTTGCATGACTATAACTATATCTAGTGCATGAAGAGGCTGCCCAATTGCAGAATGTGCTCACAGCAGCGCTGAGCTTGTATTCACAAAATAGGGCGGGTTCAGTTTTTTTGATGACATGATGGCCCAGACAAAGAACGATGGGATGGAATGAACAATAGATCATGAAGCGGATGGTGAGCCATTTTTGCCAGTGGGTGTTGGCTGCTAGTTTCTGATCGTGGCTCAACCCGCTTCGCAGTTCATACCCTGATCAGAGTCTAGATAAAGATGCACTGAACTCATGAACCAGGGCTACACGTTGGACTGTACATACTGCACAGTGCTCAGGTTTCAAGTTGTCTTCATCAACAGTTGTATTTTTGTGGTGGTACGAAGATGTCACAGTGGCGAATATGCGTGGGCCGGCATGGCTCGAAGCAAATCACTAGCATGAAAAATGCGATGTAATCACCCCGTGAAATGAACTCGGGTGGCAATATTCATGCAGCATTGATGGGAAGGCATTCAGGGCCATTGGCCCACCACGGATACACAGTTCTGCACATCGCAAACACCGATAAGGCTCAACAAGGTGAGCAGGCAGACCTTGGATCTGTCCCTCGTTGAAGCTGTGCACAAGCAGAATCTCATCCTTTGAGCCATCCTTATGCTTGAGCGAGAGTGTTAGGTTCTTGCTAGGGTGGAAATCCTAGAGGCTGAGGATCGACAGGTGGTCATCGGGCTGCACCTTGTCATACATTGTAGTTGGTCGGGTTCACAAATGTCAATGCGAGCATACCCCACTTCTTCAAATTTGTCTCATGGATATGTGCAAATGACCGAGTGATCATAGAGAGACTGCCCAAGAAACGTGGCTCAAATGCAGCATGCTCATGCAAGAAGCCTTTACCGTAATTGTAACCATCAATGACAATGCACTTGATGCCGTGGTCACAGTAGTAAGCAGCCATCTGCAGAACAGGGCCATAATCACCAGCGACATCCACTAATCACTAGCGCAGAGCCTGCAAAAAGTGATAGGACAACCTCCTCGAGTTGAGACTGGAGACAACCACACCACATCGCAGGCTGTATGTAGAAATGGGTACCAAATGGGGTGTGTGTTGCTGGAGATGGTGAGTCGATGTGGAATGAGGCCATAGCACTGCCAGGACAGCCAGATAGGGTTTTTTTTATTGCTCGCATCACCATTCTCAGTGTTGATAGCACCAATCAGACAGGTCTCTGTGCAGAACACGAATAAGGACATCAGAACATGGTTCAGACAGCAGCAGCGAAATACACATGAGAGATCTCTCTGGGTGTCCATAGTACTTGAGCCAGGATCCACCAGTTGAGATGTTGTCCATCCCTATGTCCTTTCTCAATACCTAACCTCCAATTGCATGTTCAAGAGGGACCTTCACTGCATTTGCCCTTGCCCTTGATCAGGATGAGGAGGTCCTCAGAAGTCTTACCATCCCAGGGCATGAAGGTCTTCAGCATCTGGAGACAATCACTCTTCAGATCGACTGCAATCTGAATGCTGGCACAGTTCTTCAGATGAGGCTGGAGGTACTCTGTCTGAAGTCATAACCCTTGGGAGGGAGCTCCTTGCTGGTGAGGTCGCTCAATCTGAACGATTTGCCCTATGAGCTAGTAAGGGTGTCTGTGAGGGGGTTGACGTAGAGGTAACCCGCAAATGCGAACTCAGTCACAATGTCAGGAGAGGTGATGGAGGCATGGGTATCAGGGTTGGCACCATTATGGCCGGTGAAGTTACAGTTATATGAAGTGATGACTAGGCAGGGACAAGATCAGGTACCAACTTCACTGCCATCTAAGCAACAAGTACTCACTGGACTTCTTCTCTCCCTTCTTGATGTCCAGTCTGTCCCACTGACCAATGCAACGACCACACGTATTTGTGAGAATGAGACCACAACCTCCTCGAATGTCACACTCTGGCCATCATGGTCAATAGTCATATGAACCTGCTCATAACCTTGCATCGAGTGACCTCCTATGGTGGCATCTGCTCACTTCCTCCACATATTCAGTGTCATCACAATCCAGCCTGGCCATGATCCCTCTCTTCAACAGGGTATTGTCTCCAAGCAGGAGAATTATGACCCAGGTGACCTACACGACCAAGCTGTGCACGTTGGTCAGTCGAAAAGCAGCAAAACGCCGCTGGATGTAGCTTCGCAGGAGCTGGGCAGTAAGGCATCATGCGAGGGGTTGTCCGGTAACCCAGAGAGTGTCAGTTTTGCTGAACAAGTCAGCTGAGAACTCAGCAAGTGCCTTTGACAGTAGTGGAGCACATGTGGAGAAGGGCAAGGGTGCACAGGAAGAGAGCACTCCACTGGGCTTTCTTGATTCTGTCAAGAGCAAGCATGGCTTCCAGATGACGAGTGGCGAAGTAAAGCAGAAGACGGGCAGAGGCGAGAAGTCACAGGAAATGAAGGATTAGGCACCTGACACAAGCAGGCAACCCAGCTTGAAGGACTGTACACGCCGACCCCAACTGTATGTTCAAGCCATGATCTGGAGCATCATGAGCAATCGACATGGTGCGAGTCATGTCTTCGTATGATAAGTTCATGCACAATTGTATCCGACGATAAGCCAGTACTGCCCTTGACAGTGAAAGTGCCCACAACCTTGAGGACGACATCTGTGGGTGAAGGTCAGCACATGGCAAGGACATGAATATACAGATATTTGCCTTTGGGAGTTGTCCAGCCACTAATCATATACACCCATAACCTTAGGGCATTTGAGCTCCCAGAGCAGCCCAGCCATGATGTCCACAGCATCCACACCACTGATATCACAAGCAACCATACTGAGACCACCCGTGTTGGGCATGTGCGATTTCATACCGATCATAAGTCCATCGAGGAATGCATAGTTCTTGAGGATGATGTGGTGGATGGTATCAGAGCTGGGCTTTCAGAAACTGAAACTGTGCTGTGGAGCACATCAATGGCAGATCATTGGATGAATAGGGGGCATGCGCACCTTGGTAAGAAGTCATAAACCTCCTTATTTGTCCTATAATCACACATGCGAGATCCTTGGGCCACCGACCTGGCCTCAATCAAGTGGTTGCAGTGGACAGTAGTGGACATGATGGCAGTGTCCATGCTGGCAAACATAAACTGGAGGATAGCCATCTGCGCACATAATGTGGCATCAATCGCCTTCTCTACATTGAGACAGACAGGTCATCCATAACTGCACGGTGGCATCCTGGCATGCAACTCGCTGTGGCTGTGGGGAACAAGTGAGCAATAGCGATAGTGATGACAGGAAATGCACTCACATTAGGATGGAGCTTGAGGTAGCCCTGGCCACGAACTATGTCCTGGTCATGCAGGTCGTCGAGATGACCATACAGTGAAATTGAGCAAGGATGAGAACACAGAAGTGGTGCCATTGATGGTGTAGTCCTTGATGGTGGTTGGATCAGATACTGTGTCGCAGCCGCTGTCTTTGTATCTGAGCAACATTGACATGAGCTTATCAATGTCCAGCCATGTCAAGTGCAGTGACTTCTTCAGAGCCAATTGTCATCTCAGGATTCCTCACACATAGTATGTACAATGCATCCTGTTAAAAGCTTGTTTCTTGACTCGAAACATGTGCAGTGATGCAATTAGCATGCACAATAGCAGTGAGTATCACTACAGTCAATCTAAGCTTAACTGATTTATCTCCATGCAATGGCAGTGCAACAAAGGAGATTGCGCACGACTCGTATTTGCTAGAAGGAAAAGAAAAAAAATAGAAGAAGTGGGACACAAAATGAACACACCACAACATCGCTGACAAGACCATATTTGACCCATAGCTCTCCCAGCTCCAGCGCATGAACGAGCGTCTCTGTGTGGTTGCGAGATCTACATTCATTATTGCTGCCATCCAGGTCAGTATTTCTTGCTGTACACCTTGCAGATGATTTAGTGATGACCTCATACAAATTGCTGAATACTTACTTGGGGCACCAGCCTTGCACGATACATGCAAGAAGCGCTTGCTTAGGATAATCAGCAATATATGGCCCCAATCTGTAGATCACCCATCTGAAGTGATTATCGGCGCACCGAACCACACATGGAGTTTTCATGTAAGGCTTGAGGTCCTGTAGGATCCTTGTCAAGGAGGAGTGAAATAATTGTCAGCGATACTTCTGAAATAGTGGGTCATCAGCATACTCCTTGTCAGCTGTGGACTGCTTTAGCATAAGACGCAGCTACAGAATCGGAGTTTTCTCAAACCTTTGAGAATGGCAAGGAACCCCAGCAACACAACAGCATCTCGATGTGCACACCGCATGCTGTTGTGAGAATTTCCTGTACTCATATATATGAGATAATACTCATTTTGGCCAGTAGCGACAGATACTGTCATTTTATCACTTCCGAGGATGATAGGCATGAACGCTGCACTGTGAGTTTTCTTGTCCACCATTATTATATCCTATTAAACTGACTCTCAATCATGAATTCTCTTGCATGTTCATACGAATTTGAAAATGTGTGCATACCGCTTGATTCCAGGCCCAGTCACCAGACATAAAATCGTTCAACTGCCATTCACCATGTAGAAACTCATGAAACAGGCCATAATCCATCTCTCAATTGAAGTCAACATTGCCTAGAATGTGATTGGCAACTGTGACTGAGTTCCAGAACCAAACATCTGATTTGGTTGTCATTCATGTAGGTACTTCGCTGTTCGGCTGCTCTCCTTGATATGACATAGTAAAGCTCTCCCACTTCACATCACCTAGTGCTGTCATATCAATTGCATGATACAAATCTGTCACATTCATGAATGGTGAATGATCACCATGCTTGACTAGGCTTGCGGCCCACAGGTTGAATAGAATGTCAATGTTACCTGCTGACATTTGCTCAGGTTTGAACAGGAACTCAGCAGTCTCAAACTCGATGCGACTGTCATATGGAGCCCAATTGTCTGAGGCTCTGGGCTCATGAGGAGGTGGAGGTGCATTTGGAGGTAGAAATCCTCCAGTTTTATCACATGGTCTCACTTTGCAGGTGAATGGATAAACAGCAAGTTATCAAGCATTGTCGTTCAAATTTTGAGCATGATTGCTTACCATTCATGAATGAATGATAATCCTGAGTTAATTCATCCACTTCTGACATGACGCTATCTTGAGAAGCCATGTCGTCCTCACAAGACCACTCTGAAGACGTGTCGAAGCTGTACTGTAAGTCATCATCAAAATCACTTCTTCCTTCAAGTTTCGTCAACAAAGTCACACGATAATGATGTCGGTCAGCCAGCCCCAAAGTAAAGTCTTGGTTAATGCGATGTGAATATGCGATCACACTATCTTTTGTCTGTGATGTGTCGCTTACCACAAAATGCCCCCTGTGCTCTTAATGGTCTCTCTAACAGAGTTCTCGCTGGCATCACAGTCAGATAATATGCTCTCATTCTCATCAGATCCAAGGTCGAGATCATCAGGCAAGCCTGAGCTGAAGTCTGATGCAGGCTCTGGAGGTTCCGCATCCATTTTCAGGTGCACATAATCTTCAATAAATCTGTCTTGTTCCTCTACTGAAGAAAGCATATGATCTTCCATGGCTGAGTTATCATTGCAGTGTCCAGAACAGTCAAAAGAATCTTCAACAGTCTGAGCTTCATCGCTCTTAATCTGTTGAACATGATTGGAATGCAGATCATTCTGCTCATAGGTGTGGGCTGCACTTTGTGCATGTGATATGTGATTGTGCTGTGTAAGTCCTGACTTGTTTTTGAACCATTGTAGGCACCCCAGGACATCGCACGAGTATGGGTATGTGGTGAGCATAGAGCACAGTCACCGTCTAAGCTGACGGTTGGATTACAGAATATGATTGCATTGTTTGATATCACAAGAAGGTTCATAACGCGTAAGTCACACAGCTTTGTAAATCACATCCCAGAGTATGGTGATTCATTTCAGAATTACTGCTGAGCATGCAATCAGCTCACAAGTTCAAGTTCAACTTTGAACTTCAACCACCACGACAAGCATTCTCTCCTTCTCCTCCACTTTCCCTCTCATTATATTTGCTCATGTCATTGACACCGACTTATCATACATGATCCACGAACACCCTCAAGCATCCTGGATATATCGTTGCACCTACTCCATGATGCACCACGGTACAGGTGCAAGCAGACAAACAGCATGAGGATATGAAGAAACAGATGAAGGTTAACAAGAGAAAATGAGCCATCGAGGCAGTCGCTGAGGTAGAGATCCAGATGGAAGAGGTGGATGAACACGCAGAAGCAAAGTGTATTACAAAGCATGTCACCGCAGGTATGTATGGCTCATGTCTGCATACACTCTGATTCAAAACTCACTTGGACCTTCAGCAAGAAGCAAGGCAAAGATGAACACTTTGAAGGCATCAGCAAATAGAAAGAAGAAAAGAGCGATCAGGCTGAGCCAGAGTCCGATCTCACTGAGCTGCCCTCTGAAGATGAGCTGCCCCTCAAGAAATCAAAGAAGTATTCTGGTACCAGGATGGCAATTGAGTGAGCTCATTTTGAGCTCATGAAACACAAGTCATCATCAAACGAAGATGTTGGCTCTGAGGAGGCTACTGTTGTGCATCCAAATGCATGGGTGCAGGCCTCAGCAGTTAAAGAAAGGTATGCATCTTCATCTATCAGTGCCTGTACTCATTTCGAGAGCCATCAGATGCCTGCCTAAACATCATACCACATTGAAGAAGTTCTCCGGAGAATTTTTGACTAGCTGAAAGCCACCTCTTGTTGAATCGTGCTCAGAAGCCCATGTGCTCACATCCGGCATAGCGGCTGCTTCCCAAAACCATTCAATCAAGCTCAGTGGTTTCGTGAATGGCTGCACACTTGAGATGGACTTAAGAAAGTGTCATTTGACAAGCTATCACAAGCTGAGCATGTGGTGAACAGCAGATCAATAGAGTACTTGTGCATGATAGAGGTTTTACAAATGAGTCTGATGAAGATGTTGAATGCTTCGCTGCACTGTCCAGCCCTGTCAAAGGTCCAAACACGCAGCTCACTCATTGTGACTTTGCAGCCTACATGCTATCCAGGCTTCACTTCACGTATGAGCATGCAGATAGAAACAATAAAGCGGTGAGTGGCTATATGTTACTTCGAGTTCATTACTGATAATTAAGGTATTCTTTAGGAGTGGACCAGCCTCTACCAGTCTATATTCATACTACGACTATTGGCTCATCATTACACTCACACAAAGAACACTATTGATGTTCCTGGGCTTACAGGTATGCAAAGACATGAGGATTGTCCTGTCAGTGCAATTGCTATATCCTCTGCTGCGGTATGCAATTTCAATTTTCTGCTACCCAAAAGTGGCCTGTACAAAAATGAAGCTGATCACAATGTAGACTTACCGTGCACTATCGCTCTGGGTTAAGGGTGATATGGCATTGGAAAATGGCAAGGGGATCCTGATCAAAAGCACAAATGTTGCTACTGGTGATGCCACAAATAGCGAAACTGCCTTTAGTGAAGCGAGATATGGAGCATGCACAGTTGGGTACACAGAGGCAGCACAAAAACTGGGTGTCACAAAGCCAAAGAAGATGGCCTGCATTGTTGAGCATGCAATGAAGATAGCGTTCACTGGCAAGTCTGTCGGATGAAGGGAGATCATCACCATTAACGATTCTGAGCTTGATTCTGATGAAGACCCATCGAAGCTTGTTGACCTTGGTTCCGACAGTGATGTCAAATAGATGGCATCAATATCAATTCATCTGGTAAGCTCTCTGTTTCCATCGTGGTGTCACAGTATATTAGCATTTCCCTATTCGGAAAGCCCTACTGTAACTGGACTTAAGCAGCATCACCAAAGCCAGCCACAAAAGCCACGTGACACCATTGATGATCAGCTAAGCGCTCAAGGATCTTATCGATTGTAGGCACCAATCACCACATCACGTGACCCACAAGGTAGTGCCCTATCAAGCGCCTCTGACACGTGACCTTAAGAGACGCCCAAGCACATGACATTCTGATAGCCACTCAATAGGCTCGGGCATAGGCACAGGACACTGAGGTCTGGATTGGTAAGGAGGTCAGCCTTATACCTCATGGCCGAGACAGCACCCTGACGGAATGCTGCACGGACCATGACCTTATCTATAAGTCTACGGCCCACCAATGACCACGTAGTTTTTACTAGTAGGTACATTGCCATTGGCTGTAGCACATTATGCATCATGTCCATACATAGTAGGTAGCCAAGGACCCCATAGATACTAGGGTACCAGAGGGCCTCACCCCTACATGTATATATATACCTCTATGCGACTGGGCTATTCTCCAGTCTTATTCATCCATTTCTCTCATTCATCATGGCTTGCCACAACCCTTCATCCCTGAGTCAGCTCAACAGTGAGGCCTATCGCCACTCACTTGTCCTTAGCCTACCGTTGGCTGATAGGGGGCTCGCCATCCTTTTATGATAGATCTGGAGTCACCGCTCCAAGTGGAACCCTGGGACCTTACAAGGCACTCAGTATAAAGGTCACCCATGAGCGGGTCCTGTGTAAAGCATCCACGGATGTCATCACATGTGTGGCAAAGCTTAGCCGTGACATTTGAATAAGACTCACCAATCTGCCTTCAGCCTCAGACTGACTGCAGGGAGTGACCTGAGGATTCTTTGAGGACCAGACACTTTTAGACCTGAGCAGGTCTTTAAACTGCATCGTTTTTGCTCAGAGATATTCTGCCCGAGAGCAGGGCTTTTTCCACATCACTTCCTCCACTATTCCTATGACTCTACCCACTGTCAGCCGCTCCCTGCCTACAAGAGGTATCAGTGCTTGTTGCTTCCTTCATGCCTCCATGAGCGTGAACAGCCAGGAACCATTCAGTGTTCACTGTGGTCAAGATCTAGAAGTGAGTACATGGATTGAAGGATCTTTGGGATTATTAGATGAGGTGTAGCATACCTATGTCAATAATAGGAATAAACTCTAGGGCCCCTGACAAAGCCATCACACATCAAGTGATTTTGTCTAAAGCTGGCTCACTCAAAAGCTTCACCCGGCACGAAAAATACTTTGAGTTATTCATGACCATGTATCTGAGGACCTACGCGCATGTCCTTGGTAGAAGAAAAATAAAACTGCGAGCAAACATCTCATATCTTGATGAAGATCAAAAGGCAGGCCTAGAACAAGTCTGAAGACCTCAGCCAAAACCTGTTATCAATGTAGATCAAGGAATCCATATAGGATAAGACTTCATAAATCCTGCATGCTAGCCTGGAAAGCTACCAGTTTAAACCTTTGCATGCAAAAAAGTGAGTCTAGTCAGCACACCTTCTGTTCAAGAACATTCTGTGGAACGAACAGCGCAAGTCAAGAAGAACTCATCCAAGCACACGTTAGTCTTGTGACTATTAACTGTGGGTGGATAGAGTAGAAATTCGAAGAACGACACGAAGAATACTTCAACATTGGGAAAAATGAGGATACTATGGGAAACATTCATTCCAAGTCTTATGCAATAAAAATTATGCAACCAAGGCGCATGTTGAATCGAAAAACTGCTGCCCATTGCATTTGGAATGTGATGCTATTGTGCATCTTTGTTCAGCAATTTACCACTCAAGCGACCCGATTTGTGGTCCAACAAGTGGATCCTGGCATTTGACCACAGGAGTCCTGCCAGAAGACCTAGTGCAAGTCAGAATAAACTGCAAACCTGCTGAACACATCCAATTTTTTGATTCCCCCTCACCCACCCTATCATTGTTTCTTATTCATTTTCTCCCTTGGGTCACCCCTCGCACATCACCCAGGAGTGTGTGGCTGTGGGTGCTCAGACCCAGGCACATCTTGCCTAGTGCTGGCTCACTTCCAGAGAAGAGCTTGGCAAGGAGTGGGTAATATAGGTATATAAGCATGTGCGTAATGTAGTGAAGCACAATGACCTGATCTCCACGAGTGACCATTAGGCATAGGCCAGAGGCTTACCGATGCCGTGACTTCTTCCACTGAATCCTCCTCACAGGTGAGGAGGATTCATGCTATGTTAGACAGGGGTCAACTAGCATAGAACTATGGCACTCAGATGGAAGAACCTATACTGCCCTTGACCATTGAGAAAAGGAGATAAGCCTTGGAAGGCTGAAGGATGAGCTGCACATGTAGAGTGTAGCAGCAAAGTTACTTCCCTGACACCTTCAAGGCTTATCTTCCACAGAGAGGCATGAAACTGGCTGTAACTGTTGGAAAAGCCACAGGCTGGTTACTAGCCACAGGTCATATAGCCAAATCTGAAGTACCACTTTTTAGCTCCAATTTTACGCCTCAAATCAATCAGCTGAGTTATACGAAAAGACTGATGAACTCGTGGACAAGATGGATCATGCAAGAGTTTTGCACGATAATGCCACTCTGCATCTTATCACATTCCAATGACCACTCGCCACACTACACATGAACACGATCACTGGTTAGATCAAAAATAGAAAGGAGATAGGTGCACCTTTCCAATAAGAAACTGCAGCTTATGCATCACACCCTGATACGATGCTGTAACAAGCTGAGAGACTCCTGTGCACATAAGTATAAACTGCAGGCACCCCAAGGCCTTTGCGCAAGCCATAGGAAAACTGCCAGCACCACCTCAAGCAAGCAAATTGAAGGGATCCCAAAGGATTTAAGTGCAGCCCTATAGGAATGAAAAACACATCAAATGCCAGACCCTCCCACCAGCACCAGCATTGATACTGGTCTTAGAGACATTAGAGGCACCTCCGTGCTCATGAGGTTTAAACTGTCAGCCCGACCGCGATGTATGTCAGAACAAACTACCAGCACCAGCATGGCCAATTCCCAGCCATAGCAATTCCACAGACCTATGTGCAAGTCTATAGGAATAAACTGCGAGCACCAAAAGATCTATGTGCAAGTCATTAAACTGTGAGCATGCCGATCAACCCTGCCCACCCACTCATCTGCTCAGTCAGCCTTCACAGCATCTGTTCATCGAGGACGATGAACCATGAAGTGGGGGTGATGTCACAGTATATTAGCATTTCCCTATTTGGAAAGCCCTACTGTAACTGGACTTAAGCAGTGTCACCAAAGCCAGCCACAAAAGCCATGCGACACCATTGATGATTCCAAATAACAAATTTGGCTATTACTGTATGGAGATCGCTTGTGCTTATGTGAGCCTTAAGCTGCATCATGACCCTTATCGGAAAATTTAATTCTTATGTAACGTGGCCTGTTGTGTTGCCCCTTGTTCGCTCCTGTCCATCCTGTCCATGAACATCATATATCCAGCGGCAATGTCAGTTTATTTATCCATCGCACTTAACATTGTATTCTTCAGTGTGTACATTTATCCTGCATTGCAGTACTTACGACGCTGACCTATGTTTGCTTACAGTGGTGTTGTCTCCATGACCTTCATTTATGATCGTGTGCACTGTATGCTGGGCAGGGATATCTATCTATGCATGCATTACGCCTAACCTCTTCTTTCACGATATGTTCGTCATTGATCAGCTGTATTCATTTTGGATGCTGACGTCAACTTCAATTCAGCCATAGTGCTTGCAATCTGCTTACATGTGATCCGATGCAGGGGTGCTGTTACAACTGCCTGTTCATTGTTCATTGATGGCTTTGAGGATGTGCCGTCATATCGCTCTCACGTTTATTGCACCTCTCCAGTGGGGGGTGCTCCATGCAGGTCCATTGTGTGTCTGACCTCAGTGGTGACTGGCTTTCCAGTTTTGTTTGGCTCTGCCTATCCATGGCAAAGATCACAGAACCACACATCAGGATAGACCTAATGCACAGCTGGAAGGAGGCAGTGTTCTACCCAATCTGTTTCTTTTGGTCGACCATTGTCATGAACGCAATCTCAGCAGACTCTATCACATCCGCATATCTGACCTATGTGCTCAACCACCATGGAATATGCTCACCCACTATCGAAATAAATGCCTTAGCGCAAGGCAAAAGTACGAACTTCGAGGCTTCACTTTCCACGACACTTACACGGCCTCTTGCCGCCGCTGGAGCTGTCCTCACTGCCAGCGCTTCATCATCGACGATGGATGTCTGAATATAGTATTTGATGGTGACTGCTCCGAAACCTCGGACGATGTTTGCATTGCGTGGTGCATGATCAGCATGCCATGTGGAAGACTCTGTGCACCCGCAGACAGACAATCAGTTGTGTGGACTGGACCATGAGCTGAGCTCCCTGCCTTGTTCGATGTTGACATCTAGACTACCACGTTTAGCTTACTCCTATCTACCTGACTATGTAACCTGTACCATTCATTTAACATATGATATTGTTGATAAGCACTGTGATGTTATTTGGACCCGGCGCTCGATGCCTCTACCACCAAGTCAGCTAAGCACTCAAGGATCTTATCGATTGTAGGCACCAATCACCACATCACGTGACCCACAAGGTAGTGCCCTATCAAGCACCTCTGACATGCGACCTTAAGAGATGCCCAAGCACATAACATCCTGATAGCCGCTCAATAGGCTCGGGCATAGGCACAGGACACTGAGGTCTGGATTGGTAAGGAGGTCGGCCTTATACCTCATGGCCGAGACAGCACCCCGACGGAATGCTGCACGGACCATGACCTTATCTATAAGTCTACGGCCCACCAATGACCACATAGTATTTACTAGTAGGTACATTGCCATTGGCTGTAGCACATTATACATTATGTCTATACATAGTAGGTAGCCAAGGACCCCATAGATACTAGGGTATCAGAGGGCCTTGCCCCTACATGTATATATATGCCTCTATGTGACTGGGCTATTCCCCAGTCTTATTCATCTATTTCTCTCATTCATCGTGGCTTGCCACAACCCTTCATCCCTGAGTCAGCTCAACAGTGAGGCCTATCACCACTCACTTGTCCTTAGCCTACCATTGGCTGATAGGGGGCTCACCACCCTTTTATGATGGATCTGGAGTCACCGCTCCAAGTGGGACCCTGGGGCCTTACAAGGCACTCAGTATAAAGGTCATCCATGAGCGGATCATGTGTGAAGCACCCATGACATCATGTCATGTGTGGCAAAGCTTAGCCGTGACACGTGGCACAACATCATTCTGAATTTATATTATTATATTTGCAGTTCATCACTCATGCTACCCTGTTGGGTGATCTGTAGCTTGAGTACTTATGGTGAAGGTTTTTGATAAATTGTCTGCTTCGATTATGCCTCTCTCTTCTCTGCCTTTGCTGCTCAAATGTTATTGGCTGCTTATTCTGTGCATGCATCTTGTGAATATCATGCTGCTTGCTGAACTTAGGTTATTTGAGTTTGGCCTCTTTTGGGGGCTTCTGGTCGAGCCAAATGCTTGTGTGAAGCTGCAGGCTTATATGGCTTTTTTGCTATCCAACGAATCATGCCATTCTCGAAATAGCTATACAAGTGATGAAGCATTGCTCCAAGATTATTTACGGACATTATAAGTGTTCAAAAGTGCCACAAGAGCAGGGGACCTCCTTTCATCTGATGCACTTTTTGGCTCTGCATAGCTTGAATAATCACTAAAAAAGTCATACAAGTCAGCTTTAATTTTCCTGATGTGTCTGTATGCATGATGTCCCTTTGCAGCGCCATCAGGTGTCCATGGACCTCTCGAGTATATTCCTCGGGAGCCAACAGCTGATGCTGCTCTGCCATTTGTGGCTCAGATGGCAGTGGGTCTTCAGTCCCCTGTGGTTCAGACTGAGATTCGACATCACCCTCAGTCTCACGAGGTACATTTTCGACATTTTCATCTGCTGGTCCAGCCACATCATCATGTTCGCCCAATGATGGGTGATGTTCAGGATGTGGCAAGCTTGGGGAGTCCTGGTGCTGTGGTTCTGCCTGCACCAGAGTCTCCGTCAGATTGCTGGAAGGCTCCTGAATGGTGACCTCCAATTCATCCTCGACTGATGCATGGCCGGCTGCACCACACCTGCTGGATGGGCTAGTCAACACTCTCGAGTTCGTACGACTCCCCCGTGAGGGCAGTGCAGAGGTTGTTCTCGTTGTCGCAGTACGTCTCGACATTGAGAAAACTGAAAGTTTTATCGAGGGGGTTTTTTTTTTCAGATTGTGTCTGGCCAATACAGACTTCGTCGCTTCGAGAAAATGACAGCGAGGGTTAAAAATGTATAAGGTTGGTCTTACGCATGTGATGTAAACCAAATCGAGTCATGTATTGACAAGAGCGAGTACAGCGCGAAGTAGAAGAAAGACCAAGACTCTAGCTACGGTTGAGCATAGATATATTTTGGTCCACCGGCATCTCCCGGGTGGCTTGCTAGTCCCAAGTGATGGTGGCGGTGGCGAGCTCGTCTATGCCCTTACATAGAGCCTTGCACCCCTGAGATTGACCGGTCATTCTGCCCGGACGATCAGCCATATCAACGCGCGCAGTAATACACCTTTCGATGTTCTTTAAAGAACAGAGGCTCAAGTGCACTATTCTCCCGGCGGATGCGGCGCACCATGAGTTTATGTGTCCAGAGTGCAACAGATGCATCGGTATATACATAGCGCGCGATACTAACGGCTGCGATGGCGTTGGAGAGCGTGTAGCTCATGGGACACTGCCACCACCCTAAGATCCATCTGCGTGTTCATAAACGTTTGAAGGTCTGCGCAAACGCTGGGCATAAGAACATCCTTCACGTCCTCAACTCCGTACCTGTGAGATGGGGGAGCCAGTGCCGCAACAATCTCGAAAGACATCTTCTTGACGCGTAACAGCTGTCGAAACTGTACATGAGTGATCAGTCAGACCGGAGACCCGTTATCCATGCGCGGAACTTCCATTTCTGAGAACCCTCACATGGTAGAACTCGAAACTCAGCGGGAGAGTCGAAGAAATCGATGAGGGGCATCCGTCCACATTCTTGACATTCTGCAGCTGCGATTGAAAGAACTAGTCGCGAACGTCCATCAAGCACTGCGCGCGGATGTCTTTCTCGACATGGAAGCCAACATTACGTATCTTGAACACGACAGTACCGTCTGAATTTCAAAAATGCTCGTCTCTCTTCATTTTATCGTCTTGGTCGTGTGTTTGGGAGCCTGGACCTCTATTCGAAGCTATAATCAATGTGACTACGGATTCAAGAGGCGCGACGGACTGCGACTGGATGACTAGCAACGAAGGTGAGATGAGTGAGCGGTATGCATGGGTGCATGAGTGCATGGAACCGCTTCATCAATGACCACGTCGGAGATTCGAAAGAACACGTAAAAAGAAAACACAAGCCTCGACACGAGTTGACCGGAAATGGTCAACAGTGAGTCTTCAAACTGGATAAAATCCTCACCTAAAATCTGTTCAGCCGGTGGCCTGCACGCGATTCTGTGTACGGATCTACAACCTGGCTGAAAATAGTACGATACTGGGTAAGAGGGTGTCCTTTGCGGTAGAAATACTCAGGTTGCGAAATTGTCCGTTTCGTCGAGACAAATCTGCGTAGCTGCGTGCGGCGTACCGTCACTTCGCTGGACCGCGAAAATAATACACTTCGAGATGTCAAACATTCTGGCCACCTCGCTCCAGAGCGTTCGGTAGACAGACCAGTGGACGCTGTGGAGTATCCTGTGGATAAGGTCCGATGCACTTGTACCGAATATGGGCTGCACGATATTAATGCTCGAACCAGTCGCATAAACCTAACCACAGGCAGAAAGTGAGAACTTCAATGTGCCAAACGAAGTTAGAAGCTCATCGCGGTCGAGAAGGCATGCTTCGTTGGTATTGTGATCCATCGCCAAGATTCAATGACAGAATTCTCGATTTTGAGTCCACATCAGGCTCAACTTCAGCCTCCAGTTATGCGCCAGACAGTCGTACCCTGTATCGGAGGTGAAAATCGTTATTATGCATAGGAGCCACTGGCACAGGTAGCTTCCATGTGGGCATGTCGGAAGTTAAAACTGCCGTCAGAAATTCGATGAACAAAGCTCAAGCCTTATTTTAAAGCGCTTTTTGTTGATGAGCCATGTGCTGCGGTCTCGCGACTTGAGCGAGCGCATTCTTCGTTCTTCACTGTATCTTGCATGATGTCCGCTTCAACTCCATAAAATGATGATCTTTTCTTGACCTTAGACATAAAAAGCTGTTCATCCGACCGCTTCCATGTCAACACAGGTCTCGGAGAGCTTGAAAAGAACATTGCGCGCACATGAGATTGACAAACCACTGTTAAGAGCCCAGAGTGTCCATTCACCCTTTTTACATAGGCAATTAAATAGCAAAAATCAACCGGTGAATGTCTGAGAAGGAAGCATAAGCGGCACGGACTCTTCAACGCGTCCCTGCCATTGATGGCGCGTCAGATCCAAATCTCACCCCGTTTGGATTAGATCTACTACTCCGACGTTCCCACGGGGAAGCTTTTTGCGACTCCTATGCCTTTGCTCCATATGACGTATAAGGTTTGTACGGCTGCTGTGAACTGGGTCATTCTCTAGATATCTGAAGCAGCGAGCGTACAGCCTTATGACTACGACACGGGACAAGACTGAATACTTTACAATTTCGGAGTCCACGCGATCACGCGTTGCGATGGCCTCTGAAGTTGTGGCCTCTGTCACGGTTACTGTCACAGCTATGTGACTAAATGACGGCATGACGTTACCCGCGTGCGGCAGATCCCGGGTCCCACAAAAACAAAGGCACTCAGTGTTGCAGCGCTAAGCGCCCGGCGTCAACTCCAACACTTGGACTGCGTGGACTTTATCGTGGAGACGTGCGGAATGTACATCCGACGATTACGGCACGCCCGTGTCATCATCAAGCTTACATCTCAGTCCACGAGTGTCAAAACGATATCGTTGCACTATGCTGTAACTTCTGGAACTTCAAGCTTGAAGTTCCGATCTTTGTGCTTGCGACGTCCATTCCCTCAAGTCGCAAGGGGACGGATTGGAAGAAGACAGACAAATTCAGTGGTATATGCGTAGCAAGAGATGGAGCAGCGGGAGCCCATCCATGTCTACGTCCACGTCTCAATAACAGTACCCGAAACGTCATCACTGCGTTGTGATGTGCTGCGAATCTTGTACTCTTCTCCGCTGGTGCGCATGGACCGGGCACCTCGGCTTGATCGTCCGTATATGTACGCCTTCGCATTGAGTATTCGACTCAACTGCTCTGAAACGCGTGACGCGGGTCCGATCCACACCGAGCGCTGCGCAAATACACACCCCTTGCAGACCCTTGCCCAGGTGATTCCAGTGCAAAGGCGAAGCTCCGGTACCTGGGAGGTCGACGCTTCGGAGGCAACTCGCCGCTTCCCCTTGTCCACCCTTCACAGATACGTCACGCCTGTAGGAAAGCGCAAGGCTTGGCTGCTGTTGCTTCTAGTTATAAGAGAGCAGGTAAGTCGGCACCAATGACCCTGATATGTGCCCTATCGAGGAATTCCAGCATTCAGGTGATGTGCACCCGGCCAAAGTAGTAAGCAAGCGTTTATCTACCCACTCACATGTTCAATGTTGACAGAGGGTGTACTATCCCCGTTGGGAGTGGCCACAGCAACGTGTATGGAAATGATATTGAGGAGAAAGATGCTTCTAAGGGCGCTGTGCCCTCTAGCATGACTGCGTTCCGAATATCGCGACCCAGCCATCGGAGGACGCTCGTTAATTGAAATCAGTCAAAGAGAGTTCAGTAAGCCCGGTCGTGCTGAGCGTGCCGCTAAGTCTGAAACGCTCACATATTCACTCGGGGGTTGGGTCCAACCTATAACGCGATACCTTATGGCCATCCCAATAGCACCGAATCGGTGGTAACGCTGAGCATGGCGAGAAGTAACGAATAAATCTCGTTGCATTTCGTGAGATCTACAGTAGAACTATCCAAGTGTGTGGCTCCGCGACGAGAGGGACAGATTGAAGAACCGCGGAAGGCTAGACCAAGCAAAGCAGTGACGCCATGCGGCTTGATTCGAACAGGCGCGGCTGGCGGATACTTCTCCGCGCCTATAGCGGCTGCTATTGATAGACACACATCCAATGATCCTCCAAAACTTACCCTTATGCACGTAAATTGCAACTTCACTGCACAAATAGGCTCGCTATAACTGGTAGAGTGCGAGTCCTTAATGCATTATTCCTGCAACGCACAAGGTGGCATGGACCTGATATGATCGAGTCAGCGGCCAGCGCCCGTGCGCGTCGGCCTAGCTCAAACTCTCCGACAATTCAGCCGCTCCACGCTATCTTAAACCACACGGCGTACTTAGCCCTGAGACCGCATCGGTCCGGGCATCGCAGTAGAGAGCGTCATACGGCGGAAGCAACCGGCCATTTTCCCTTAAGAGTATGTCCGCCGCCTCCAGATGGCCGTCTGGGGCCGCCGCGGGGCCCACACTGTTCCAAATCCCGTCGAGACTGTGTGGCGCCCCTGCTAAGGTTAGCATCACTTTTGCGCGGAACCTCTTGGCACAGTGCGGCATCCGATGTCCATATTTTCGACGGACGCCTGGGCTGGCGCAGGTACTTAAGGGCGGGGGGCATGACGGCAAACTCGCCAGAGCTGGGGAAGATCTTTAGACGCCATGCAACACCTCACCCTCCTTCTCTCCGCCCTATTCCTAGCGGTGCTCGCTGCCCTTCCAGCCGGTATGGATTACGAGTCGTCTTCTTTTCGCGTATCAAACTGACCGAGTTCGCTTCGCAGCTGCCTTCCCTGATCTGACCAAAGCATGCGGCAAGAATGCCCAAGTCACGAAGAACACCTCGTTCGTTTACGACTCCAAGACAATCTGGGTCACGACACAGAGCTGTCCTGGCTTCGCGGCTTTGAGCAACAGCTCTCGGACGCCTGGGACCGTGAACAGCACGCTCCTCAACGGCGACGGGCAGGTTTCAGTATGTAACGACGCATGTGAGTGTTTAGGACCTCTTGAAAAGCTTTAATTTGTTGACGACTTGCTCTAGGCAACGTAGAGTGCGCCAAGAACCAAACAGACGCAGTCGAAGATGACTGCTATTACCTGTCGGATGCTATCGAGTCCTTGACACGTAAGTTTGCATCCGATCCTGCTATGGTCAACCGCTAAGCGCCCGTCGCGGATACAGCGCAATCGTTCACTGCGCCTGCACTATCGCTGACAACGTTCTCGTTCGGCGCCGGCTGCGAGGTAAGTGCCCTTGAGGCGCCTCTGTCCGGATCTTGCGCTGACCTGAGACACACAGTACAACTATGCTAACTTCGATAAGGTGGATTATTCCGTGTGCTATGCGGATGTGGTAAGTGTCAATTGGTATTTGATGAGGCGTGGAGAAATGACTCATGTCTGCCGTGTTTAGGGATATGTCGGCGCTATAACCGCCAATGAGTGTTCCGCCGACTCCACCGGAGGATCATGTGTCTCTACTGATGCTAATGATAACGACTGGGTTGTCGAGTAAGCGCCTTTCAATTCGATCTTTTCACATTGCACTCATCAAGAATCCGCAGAGTAACGCACTAGCCCCGCGCAGAGACTATTTATTACGAGTAATGAACTTTGATTCGGACACTTACAGCCCTGCATTTTTTAATGTTGTACCGCTACTGCGGCTTTAGGTACATGTATTCATGGACACGATTCTCTTTGTAGCTAAATTGACGAAATACTTCCCCGACTTAACTGTCGGCGGAAGTGTCATGACCTATTAATCGAATGTCATAGCAAAGAGAAACATAAAAGGATGCAAACGACGGTGTATATCATTTTTATTTACCCTTCCCCCACGGTATAAGGGCCTCTGGCAAGTTGTGCATCATGGAACATAGCTATGCTGCCGCGAGCACATGCCCTCCCGCAGCTTCAAATCAATCGATTCATGATTCTATCGCAATTATTCTCATTGTAGTATGCGAGTCGTCTTCACCATCCTGACAATGCGCACCCGTTCGCAGCAGCCGGGGAGGAGTCCGACAGAAGGCGCAGCACACGATTGTATTTGCGAGGCTGCGGAACCAACGTGAGTGCGCCATATGTTGTCCGGGTACCACGCAAGCGCGAGAACCATGCCACAGTCGCTGTTTCAGCATACTAACGCTCCCGATAACTGGCAGACAGCGGGAATCCCAACGAGACTAGGCGCTCAGCGTTTGACATGGATAGCGCGAGCTTGGACAAACGTGGGCCAATGGGCTTGCCCCTATAGTGCGTCGGCTTCAATCGCGATACCAGCCGAGCTAGGAGGCGCAAGCAAATCTCTGCGATCGCACACCGATCTGTCTGAGCAGATACCTCCGATGAGCGTGCGATGCGTCCGAAGCGCATAGCTGTTGCAGTGTCCATTGTTAGGGGTAGGGGTAGATCATAAAGCGGAATACAAGGTTTCGTGCTTCCGCCTTCGCTCCCCTCCGCTCCCCCCCTTGGCTGTTGGCCGGCTTCGCTGTGGCCAAGTTATCTCCGCCGTCGTTGCTGAGAGCAAAGCCTATCCCATAGTCACGAGGTCTAGAATGCTGAGCAGCACGACGCTGAACAATGCGAGACAGCTGAAAGTGTGCAGTGGATGTGGTCTCGGATGCAGATGTTGAGGCTCGCTAGGCTGATGCGGTATACAGGTAGCATGGACTGCGCAAACTCTGGGTTGCAGGATCGGAGCAAACTTGTGGTGGATGACTGCATGTCCTGTTCGATGCAGTTGAGCCATCTGCAAGCTATTGTCACTGTTTTGTAATGGTCCTCAGTATTCACACGCAGCAGCGCAATCGTTCGTCGCTCCCGCGCGCTCGCTGAGGCTCCGCATCTTGGTCAGGATGCGAAGCGGGTATTAGGCCTCCATGAGTAATACGGACTTGCTCAATGTGATTCTGCGCTACGCCAACTTTGAATCCGTAAATCATGCTGCGTGCTACAGTGACGCAGTAAATCCGGGCTGTCATAGTGACCATGTGAGTGTGCGCGGTGAGATGACGTCGGCGCGATCACGACGAATGACTGCTTTGCTTGTTCCGCTGACTGGAGGGGCATACACGTCCTCTTCCGCGACGAAGAATCATTGGCTACGCATCGTGAGCGCTTGACTGACCGAGAGTCTCCGACCAAATGACTGATTGGTCCATACGCAGCGTGACTGATGGTTTATGATGAAATGTGGAAGTTTTGCATTGCATTGTATTGCTTGTACGGATATGGCGTATCGGTCACACAGCCGGATTACGGTCATTAGATATATATCAGACTGCTTAGATGCATGTGCACTCACCCATCCAACCTGTCTATCTCGTTCGGTAACACTCTCGTTTTCTGACGATGCGTCATACTCCGTTGTACGCACGATACTCACCTGACGCGGCTTGCTCGGATACGGACAGTACCGCTCGTGTGACGGACCAGCCCTCCACGAAGATCCATACAGAGTACCATGCAAGTTATGATTTAGACTGGCGGTTCTAAGGAATGTGCGTCATCATCTGTCTCCAATTACGGATAGACTGCATGTACGAGCACGTCGATGGTGCGCTCCATATATGCGCTGCTTTTCTCGCCTGGCTGGTCATCATTGCGGTTCGGTGCAGGCAGGTGCATGATCTGCAGATGGTGGATGCGCGGATCCATTTGTCGAAGCTATGATGTGTGTGATTCATACGTGAGCAGCGATCTGATCGGTCAGCTGTAGGAAGGGATCTGGGAGCACAGGTTCCGGGGCCATCAGGGATTTTATTGTACAGGACTGCTTGGATGATGATGGACGATCGACGGCATTGCGCAACAGCGCATACGCATTCGGCGCTCTGATATAGAATCGGCGAGCCGGAGGGACCGTAACGGGCGTGATGGGTAACAGCTAGTCGCCTGCACCGCGTGCTGTGCATAATGATTCGAGCGAAGCACTGCCGTGCGAGAGCTCATGCCAAGTCATGTAGTCGGGTGGAGGCTCCCGCGAGAGTAGAAGTACGAACAAGATTCACATTGCGAATGGCGGGCGTGTGAGGAGCGCACGTTCGGAGAGCAATGTTCATTGTTAGCCTGTGTTGGCAGCTTTTCTCTGGGATGCTAGACGTGCTTCTGGCGATAGTCGTGGTGAATTCTTGGTGAACGCCTGCTAGCGTGTGATCCTCTGATTGAGGTTGCTATCATAGCCGTTTGATGGCCGATGGGAGTAAGCGGCTGGTGAAGAGAATCTCTCCGCGTGAAGAAAATTCCTCTGAATAAAGGAAATCGCTAAGAGAGGAAGTCAAGTCTGGGACAATTTGCGGCGTGTAACGCGTGGCACGTACAGCAGCACGCCTCAGCACCAGAAAGCTAGATGATGACGATATCCGAGCAGCATGACAGATGATAGGATAGCACGCTCGAGGTGATGGCTCACGACAGGATTCGCGGCCCTATATCACCATCGCAAAGATTTGTAGTCACGATGGACGTGCAACCCGAGCAGGTCGGAACAAGCACCGGTGGGAGACAGCAACGAGCGAGAGAACCGAATGATGCATGATGCCACATCATGAGGCACGGACACGGCGGATCGCGAGCGGTCTGCCGCGGATGTCGTTGCCGGTCGAGGGACGGGACTGCCTAGAGAGCGACGTAACCATGGCCCGCAAGTGCCTGGCGGCGAATATCGAGAGGGTGCAGGGACTGAATCAGCGAGGGTCGGCTGAGGCACCGAGGCAGGCAGCGGCAGGCGTTGGCCGAGCAAGCGGGATGGACGTTAGCGATGGACATGCCAGTGCAGCACGACGTTGTAGACGGCGTGCGAAGTGTGGCCCGACGCCGGCCGGCATCTGCACTCGAGGAAGCCGACGACGGGCGCAGAATGCGGGGCCACCGTGCCCGGGATCAAAACCGGCGGCGAGGGGAAAATGGGAATTGCCGGATATGGAAGCGCACACTGCTGGCTTCTCGCGCTAACACGCTTGCCATGCGCCCCTCCGAGCCAGTCCTTCTTCCCCGTCCGCCGTCTCTCTTTCCTCCTCTCTTCCCCCCCTTCTAATCTCTTCCCCTCTCCGACGCCTGGACGCGCCGACACAGCGAGCTCCGCGGCCGTTGCATCGACCACGCCCACACGCTCAAACCTGCACGGGCCCGGTAGAGCGCCTCGAGGCCGCTGAAAGACAATTGGCCTGCCCCTTCCGGACGCGCACCAGCGCCACTGCTCGTGGGTCTCTTTCTGTATTTCATTTCGCTTTCCGGTGCATGACATGTGCGGTCATGACCCTTCGCACATGTCTCCGTTCCTCGCTTTCGAGTCTTCCCGCCGTTCTATCTACATAGCTTATGTGCCTGGGGCTCCGGCCGTGCAACGTGCTAACGTCGCCCTCCTGCACGCAGTTACCTCACGCTCGCGCACACAGTCGCTCCCCAACGTCCCGCTCGCACATACCCTTGACGTCCGCATAATCGCGCGAATTTGCATTGACCGCCTCAGCGCTCCCGAAGATCTCTTCTTCGCTTGTCGGTCCCACATCTTGCAGTGTGTCTTCTCTGCTTTCCCCACAGTGTCCTTGTGCTTGCAGGCGATCATCTCGTAAGTATCTCATCCTGTCCCCAGCTTCTTTTCTTGTGGGAATTCGCCGCAGCGGTCGAGAGAACGGTACCGATTTCAGTCTGGATCTGGTTATGCGCACGCGCTCAAACCGGTGACGTACCGTGAAAGCTTAACCTGATCCTGGTCAATTGACCAGGGTAAGACCAGGTTTAATGCCTTGACCTCTGGGGCAGGTCGATGGTTAAAGTGGCTCAACCCCAGTCATCCGTGGTCATCGGATAATCGGGGTCAAAGACAATGTTGATGGAGACTTACATAGCTCGGATCGGGGGTGTGCCTTCCGCATACGATGTCTCTTTTACCCTTGAGCCTCCGATCGCGTCACCTTACCCGCATATATGATGCTCATCTGACGACCGACGTCCCCACAGGCTTGCGAATATTGCGGGTATACCTTGGCCTTGCTACGGAAGGAAGATCTTGGCTAGCGAGACATTTGTCTGAGGACTTGTCGGGACGATCATCTCGTAAGTATCCCATCCTGTCCCCAGCTTCTTTTCTTGTGGGAATTCGCCGCAGCGGTCGAGAGAACGGTACCGATTTCAGTCTGGATCTGGTTATGCGCACGCGCTCAACCCGGTGACGTACTGTGAAAGCTTAACCTGATCCTGGTCAATGACCAGGGTTAGACCAGGTTTAAAGCATGATTTGTGCGTGATCAACGGTGAGGGAGCCGTTCGCTGCTATCCGCCAGTTCAGTACAGTCTCTTGTCAGCATGAAGTTTTCTGCCAGGACGTCACTCTAGTATTATGATCACGCACAGATCACGCCTTGACCTCTGGGGGAGGTCGATAGCAAAGCGGCTCGACCCCAGTCATCCGGTGGTTATCGCATGATAAACGGGGTTAAAGCCAACGTTGACGGATGAGGTATGTGGCGCGCATGGTGTGTGCTCTTTGTGTACTCAGCGTACGATATCTCTCTTACCTTTGAGCCTCCGCTCGCGTCACCCTACCCGCATATATGATGCTCATCTGACGACCGACGTCCACACAGGCTTGCGAATATTGCAGGTATACCTTAGCCTTACTACGGAAGGACTTTCATCTCGTAAGTATCCCATCATGTCGCCGGCTTCTTTTCTTGTGGGAAGTTCGGGGCAGGGGTCGAAGGAACGGTACAGATTTCAGTCTGGATCTGGTTTCGAATATGCGCTCAACCCATTGACGTGCGGGTGAAGGCTTAATATCTTTGACCTGATCCTGGTCAATGACCAGGGTCAAGGAGTCAAAGCATGACTTGTGCGTGATCATTGGCGAGGGAGCCGTCTGCTGCTATTCGCCAGTGTAGCATGAAATCTCCCATTAGGACGTCACTCTGGGCTTGTGAGTACGATCACGCACAGATCACGCCTTGACCTTTGGGGAGGTCGATGGTCAAAGTGGCTCGATCCCGGACATCCGTGGTTATCGGGTGATAATCGGGGTCAAAGCCAATGTTGATAGAGGGTTACGTAGCCCGGATCGGGTGTGTTTTTCGCGTACGATGCCTCTCTTACCCTTGTTCCCCCTCTCGCGTCACCGTACCTGCATATGATGCACATCTGACAACCGACGTCCCCACAGGCTCGCAAATATTGCAGGTATCCCGTCTTGGCTATAGAAGGACTCTTCTCGGCTAGCGAGACGTTCGTTTGAGGAGCTTGTCATATTAGGTGGGTCTATTCTCCAGCCTGTGTAGCCGTCTAGGGTAGCAGGATAAAGTGCCTTGCTGGTGAGTCCTCTGTCCGATGTACTCGTCGTGCACCATATCTGGCAGAGCGCGTGCAGTTAGCCGACGGGAACTACCAGTGATATCTTGGCAGCAGTTTCACCTCCGCCCGAATTTCACTCATTTTTAACATGACGCACTGACCTCTCTCTCGATGGAATTCTTCAGCGCAGCCAGTCGGATTATTCTTGGTCCCTATCTGTTAGGCTCGATCGCCGATCATCAGTACGCTCCCTTGGCCATTCTGCATTGCCGGTACGCCTTTTTGAGCCCGCCGAATCTCTCCGCGCACTCAACGCAGCACACACGTCAGCCATGTCGTCCCCGCCGTCCTCGTCGCACACGCATACACGTACCCAGTCCCGCTCTCTTCGCGAGAAGCGCGCCGGCGTCCCACTCCTGCTCTCTTCCTTCCCCGTGCCGCCGTCTCACATCCCTGCATCGTTCCCGCTCTCGCCGCTCAGCGCGAGCTCGTCCTCCTCGTACTTTACCCCGCTCACGACGCCCCTCAGCGAGAATACGAACATCCCCGCATCTGCATCCAAATCCTCTACCGCGGCCCTCCTGCATGCCGCGCTCACCGCGCAGAACCCCCCACCTTGTGCTCCGCCTGTGTTACCCCTCCCGCCAGTACCCGGCCCATCGCCCCTCTCTGACCAGGAGACGGTCCTCTTCCTCTCCGCCGCACGCGCACGGCGAGTATCCAAGCTCTCTTCTGCGTCCTCGCGCAGGAGCTCGCTCGCGAGCAGCATACATAGCGCGAGCACGCCGGGGCTCTCGCCGTCAGCGAGCGTCACGCCCGCGGAAACGCGTTCGCTGCGGTCGTACTCGTCGAACGGAAGCCTGAAGATACCGGCGCCCAGATATGGAGGTCAGGAGAAGAGTGTGGGCGCGGAGGAGAGGATATGTGAGGAGGAGACGGAGGAGCTGACGAGGGTAGAGTTGGATGACATCCCGTCGTCGCATGCACATGACCGTCAGAGCGATGAAGAGGAAAACTCACTGGAGCTGAGCAGCCCACCGCTGCTGCGGCGTCTTCGACACTCGGTGCATGACTCGATCTCGGAGATCGACATGCGCGACCTGCCGCCGCTGCAGGAGGACGTGGACATCATTGAGCGCGTGCGCGTGCCGGCCGTTGAGGGCTTGCCGCACAGGAGGAGTCTTGGCCGCGCTTTAGGGTTCTCAGCTACACATGAGAGAAGTTCAAGTCAAGATAGCAGTGTCATCTGGCCGCCGCCCACGAGCAGATTTTCACTAACGCAGTTGGAACTCTCACCTACACATGAGAGAGGTTCAAGCCAAGGTAGCAGTGTCATCTGGCCGCCCACGAGTAGACCACTAGTGCAGCGAATCGACACGGACAAGGCCCTGCCACCGCTCCCGCCACCATCGCCATCGCCGTCACCATCATCATCGACATCTCCGACTCCTGCACCTGCACCTGCACCAGAAATGCGCGCCGAGAGTCCGGATATCAAGACGATCCTCGCAAGCACCCCGCGGCCGCGCCGGAAGTCCTCAGGCTCGTACATATCGACGCGTTCGTTGGAGCGCACCCGCTCAAGAGCCGGCGTTAGTGCGCCAGCCCTGCGGCGACATATGAGCGAGGGCGTCTCGGGGTCGCGGGGACGGCGGACGTGGGGCGAGGATATGACGCGGCGCGGGAGCGAGCGAGGGCGCAGGTCTCGCATGTCTGCGATGCCGCCGCTGCCGTTGCCGAGGGGCATGTCGGAGTTTGGGATGCTGGACGGTGAGAAGGGAGGGGGAGAAGGTAGTGGGAGCGAAGAGGAGGTCAATAAGTCGTACACTAACACCCGAGTTGTGTATCTACAAGGCCTGGGAATATATTTCGGTTACAATCACAATTAGTGGACCGCATGGATTGTTGGAAATAGAGGACTGGACAGAGCACAAAGGGGTGCAGAGGGCAGGAGATTTACAGCGTGTTGACCAGCATTTCATAGCACACAAGGTAAGGCAAGCCCACTTTCGTTCTGATTGTAACAACTTTCATTCCGACCTGTTCTAACTGCTAAGACCATCCTATTCCTTGTCCCTCCTCACCCAACACAAAGCACTGCAAAGGCTCGTACCCTATGCCCCCCTTCCCCCCCCTCCCTCTGAAGCGTAATTGCCGTCGAATCCCAGCTGGCGCTATCCGCTTGGTCACCGAAAGCAACACGTATCTTCCACCCCTTGACCGTCACGATCCGGACAATCGGTCACCGACGATGCACGAACCCAATCCATTCTCTATTCACCATCCACAGGACGAGCATCTCGGATTCCTGACCGAATGAGCTCAATGATCGTGAGTGCACGCGTACCTGAGCCTCTGGACTGACAAATACCAAAGGCCCGATGGCCGTTCATGCAAGATGAGCATGGCGAGTGGAAATTGAAATCCACCGGTCGTCAGATTGTGTGGCCGTTGTAAGCTAGGCACTGATCTTGGTATGACCATCACGATAGATCATGACCGGAAATGTGAAGTGCGCGATGGAGGCCATAGCGTACGATCGGCCACTGAGAGGTCGGGCGAAAGCAGTGCGGCCATCAACTTCACGTTCAGTCTGTCGAGAAATCGTGCTTGGCGGATGTCTGCACCTGATCACGATGTTTGTGCTGACGTCTTCGAGTGCGGGATGGTGCCGCACGGTGAGGTGCTTAACAATCAGCCTACAAGAGTCCTTATTGAGAACACGCTAACAGAGGATCTTGCAAGGGTACGCACCATGTCCCAGTCACTCATCATCAACTAATATCGGCAGAGCGCAGCAAATCTGGTTGGCATATGATCGGCCTAGTTTTCAAGTCATGGTGTCGTGTGTGGTTACTGAAGCGTGCATAGCAGAACGGGGCCGTTGGATCCCACAGATCGCTCCAAGCGAGCACTACCGATGAGATTGTTGGGCGCCACACATCGTTTTGATGGAACAGGTATTATAACATGTGGGGGTCCACCGTGCATCGGTTTCGGCCATGTATTCAATGAGTTCCTTGTTCAGCTCATCGCACGCCATCGAGAATGGCCAGCTGGGTTAGATACGGTGTGGGGAGCACAGCGGAAGGCAAGCAGTGTCTACGTTCGCGCGGTTGCAGTCGATTGGTTAGTCTGCGATGGTGCATCGACTCTGAATCTTCCACTTACCCTGTGAATCGGAATCTGGGATCTGTTGTAACTTGCTCTTGATGAGGACCACTATCTTGATTCATCGCACCGCTCTAGAGCATATTTAGTTCATTCACGGGCAGGAGAGCTCAGATTGAAAGTACCACTCACTTTGAGCGGCTTGAGCCTCAGGCCGGCCGCAAATGTCGAGGACCATTGTGAACGTTTCTTGAGGTATTGCTAGTATCCGCGAGCCCATACTAGACTGAGAGTCAGATCATGATCTGATGGATCGACATGACATCAATAGCTTGCTTACCATGGACACCGAATTGACCTCCCTTCCAAGACGTCGTTGCTTGACAAACGACATGGAATCCTGAGGCAAAGACTCAGTATTCATATGGGAGAGTAAACCTACTGTGACCTAACCTGCATCGCATTGGCATTGCATCGCTGACGACAGCCTTCGCCGACTATCGGTCGAAGCGCGCCGCTTGCGTCCAAGTGCACGACCGTAAATTAGTCCGTGCTTCGGTGACTTGTTGTTTATATTATAACTCACCCTTCTCCCACATCAGCTATCGATTAGACCCTGTAGACATTATCCTCGGAGCATCCTGGTGAGCGTAATGATTCAACTGCGACTCGAGCTTATCCTAGTTATCAATCCTATTTACCTTGGACTAATGGCGGCTGATCATAGGCAACAATCAGCTTCCAGGTCCAGAAATTCTGGCTTGGACAGCACTAGGAATTTATTGAAAAAGGGAAAGAATGAGCTAATGATGGGAGTGAGCAAGCGAAGCTGCAACGTACCACAGGCGCCTCAATAAACGCGATCACGTGATCGAGTTCTCCGTACTTGACGTTTGCCTCCCCTGAAACGCTGTTCAGCACTGTCCTCGACTTATTACTGATGCTCGACTCTATGTCAGTATCTGGCCCAGAACAAGCTTGGTAAGAGGAAAGTACTCATCTATACTCGCCGAGGTGATTGCATCAGGGACTGCAGAGGCATGCATGAAGTTTGAACACCGTGACAAGCTAGTCGTGTTGGCTTGGCTGCCATGGTCGTCGACGTTCAGCCCAGGTGAGTGGCATTGACAATGCTGGTTGACAGGCGGAACAGTAGAGATGCAAAGATTGCCACATTTAGAAATAGACCACACCATGAGGGAGGTAGAGAGCGCAGAGGAGCAAACGGCAGGGGTTTTGGGAGAACAGGTGCAGATGAGTGTGCGTGCGTGTTGGTCGAATGGTCAAATACCGATGGAGCGAGGACCGGGTTGCCCTTCTTCTTGCCCCTTCACATCCCGATGTGTGCGACCAGGACCCCAAAAGACTGTGGCCACCAAGATCATCGAAGATCACGATGCATCGATCTTACGGCCACTATTGATCCAGATCACCTGGACTCCGCGTTGTTTTAATTTACGTAGATCTAGCCATGCCTCATGGTGTCCATTGTTCGGTGAAGTTGTGGGTGTCATCAAGATGAAACTGGAAGACCCGAACTGTGTATTCCACCAATGCGCTGGCCTGCAAGGTTTTCGACGGTACACTAATCACATCGCATTCTCTTTGAGATGATATGTACTGCTCTGCTCTGATGGATGCACTGATTCTGACGGGATTTCAGGGAGCCAGCAGCACCAACGAAAGCCCGCGAAACTTCTCGTGGATCTCCGTGTCTCGTTCGCGCAGGGGCCCACCATACCTCATTACAAGTGTGAGATATTGTCATGCCTGCACTTCCATGGGGCTAGACATGGAAGTTCATGTAAGCGGACGGCCTGGTAAGTTCCGGATATTCTCATGCACTGTTGTGCAATTTCACTGGTCAATGCAGAAGGGTGCTCTGGGTGTATTCCTCCAGAACCAGAGCCAAACAACACTGAAATGGTTGAAATTTATATCACGCTGAGACATACCAAAATACTCCAAGCAGTTCTTCTTGTGGACATCAAAAATGCAGAGAAATCGCACAAAGTTTGAAGGTGCAGTCCCAGGGACCCCGGGTCGGTTGGTATTTTCAGGATGTGTCCGAACTGCATTACGTTCACGAGACGTGTCGATTAGCTGATATCTTAGTAACATCGCGGAGCTCCTGATGCCTGTTTGGTATCAAGACTGCGCACGGCATGCAATATAGGCTTCGAAGAACGAAGGATGCAATCCATGTCCATGCGGCTCTGCACCGTGCTTGTGGGCCGAGACTTTGACGAAGCACGTTCCGACCTTCTTCGCTATGCACGCGTATGTTCCGAGACATCAGATGAGCTCTCCGGTCGTTTTCTCGCAGCTGAGCCCATTATGTCAAAGCACTCACCGGCGATGAGAAGCATGGCGGCTCCAGCGGCATAGTCAAGTCCGGATTCTGCATTGTCAGACTTGTGTAATAGATGGATCCGTGAAGGCCAGTCGGAGTATACTTTTGCAAATCATGCAAAGGACGACAATGCTGTACATGAAATTCATAAGGTCTGTCCACTGTCCCTTTCTTAGAAAAATCAACTTGAGTCAGACGTTCCACGCAGACAGACTCGCCGTACAGGATTTGGGAAGCGTAGAAGGACGTCCCCAGTCTGAGCATCCAGCGGACAGCTTGCGGCTGAATGATGACTCTTTTCAGCCAGGCGTGAGTCCCAAGAACCGTTCGTACAGATATTCTAGCCCGTCCGGCACACCCAGCCCCATAGCTTCTCCAATATTATGACGGCCGAGCCACAAGAGGGACCCTCGCATCCTCATCTTCCGTCGACATCGTTCCTTCCATCGCGGCCAGGCGCCGTCCATCTTCTCATCCTTCTCAGAAGTCCGGACACAGCGCAATCAGAAAGGTAGTGCTTTACTTAGCTTGCGTGCGAGTCACAGACTCTGGCCTGGGAATGCGAGGGAGGTCCGGTCCCCGTGGACACTTTCGATGCACGGCTACCGCGAATCGCAGCATCGCGCTCACGGGGCTGAGCCCCGTCGCCTATCGCGCACTCGCGTCGCTCCGAAGCTGGCACTGGTGCATCGTCTAACTGAGACAACAACGCGCGCATCGCCGTCCGCCCGGGTTCGCGAGAGCGGCCATTCGGCCTTCTTCGAGTCGAGCGCGCGCAAACGTCGTCCTCGCATGACGCGCCCGTCGCGTCGGTCCCCACCCCCGCTGTTCTGCCGGGTCCAACGTCGCGCGCAGAATCCCATGAACGGCATGTGTACCGCGAGCGACGCACGCAGGCTCGCCCTCCTCTCACTGAACTATACCGCGCCCACCGCGCATCGGTCGGTCCTGTCAGTATGGCCTCCACACTCCCTCCGAGTCCGCATTTCATGCGCCGGGCGTCCGACACCGTTTGCATGCAGTCCCGTCAACCGACGGGCTACGCCCCTCGCGGATCGCCATCCGTACCTTCCACAAGCACCCCAAGGCCCGCATCTGACCGTCACACCAGATAGATCCCGGATCGCCATGCAGTGTATTCACCATGTACAGTAGTTGTGTAACACAATAAGAAATCCAAAGGAAATGCAAAGCACCCGGGCCGCGCACACGCGAGCCGCTTCGCCC